ATTACAGACCAAAAGACGCCAATTTTTATTTGAACGAACCTTCGGACGTCGACTTGGGGATGACCAGCACATCCAGCTGCACGGCCCAACGAAGAGCCACCTGCGCCGGTGTCTAAATAATAGTTGTACTGATCAGTGAGTCGGAAGTGATCTTGAACTATCGATAGATTTTGATATTGATGGCCATCGAAGCGGCAACTAATACCTATCAATCGCTGCTATCATGATGCCAACGTTCAAGTTCACCTAGACGACGCTCAAGTGTCACCAGTAAACTCGTCCACTCCCGAAACCAACGGGCGGAATGAGAATCACGTTTTTTTGATTTTTGAGTAGTTTTTCTTTCTTTTTTACCGAATTGTGGTTTTCTGCCTCTACTTCCACCTTTCATCGCCACCAACTTGTGCGACCGTTGCCTTTAAGTCCGATTTATCACGAGAATTAGAAGGTGGACTTCTTGATAGTCGCTGAGCTTCAATAGAAGTGGAATAGATGAGACAATTATGTTATTGATGAGCACGGTGTAGACTGACTGGCAGTGGTCCAATAAAATAGGCTCGCGTCCTCGCAGGGAAATTCCATGAAACCGCAGTAGGATTAGCTGTTCTGAGAGCGGCCATTTAAAATGGGCGAACTACTCACGCACTGATCGGAAACAGTAGAGCTATTCAGATAAAAACCTATGTATTCTCTGTTTCAGAAAGGAAGCACGTCGAGTGCAGACCACACACCACAAGTGACGACGGCCTCCACAAAATGTAAATGTTTTCTGCCAATGAAATGATTAGCCTGTTGCAGTTGTATTCTATCAGTTGTCACTAATTACAACTATCATTTACCAACTATCAGCTATCACTATGAACCACTTACCAGATTTACTTGGAGGCCGTCGTCACTTGTGGTGTGTGGTCTGCACTCGACGCGCTTCTTGTTTTTTTTTAATCAAAGGGTATGCACCCGCGATACAAGGCAATCTTCACTACCTCCTCTAGGACTCCCTAATTCACGCATATGATGCTTATTTCGTGAACCTCTCAGCCTACTGACACAATCGGGCAACCAAACACCGAACTTAACGACGCACTCTAAAGACGAGGAGCTTGAAATCAAGGATTCTTGCAGTGAAGATGACTACATGGTGCCACATTAGAGCACTGCTATGCTGAAACAAATGGGATCCCATAGGTAAAAACTACTTCAGGTGGTTATTACTTCTATGAGTCTTGTGGAAGGAGCCTACATAAGTACCGGAGCTCGCGAGAGCAAACTGAAAATTTTTTCTCGCTAAAGGCCCAAAAAACAAGAGCTTCCTCCTAAAATACCTCGTGCAAAGGGTATAAATCGCTAAATTGACCTTTCCAAAGAAAAAATATGAAAAACTGTGAATAAGCCTAGAAAACCACATAGGCATGACTTCACCGGGATCACAAGCAAGGAAAAAGAAGCCTGTGAAAGCAGAAAACGCCAATGACGTGTGAAATGGCAATAATCGGGATCAGGATGAGAAAGAATAATAGCCGACTCTATGCCTCTACTCACTTTATTATGTGCACTGGCGATCTTCTTTAATACAGGCTCCGTCAACAGATTTGGATCGCCGGCTTTTCGGAAAAACGCCGAGCCAGGATTCGAGAGGGAGCTGAAAAATCGCTTTATCTTTTATAAAAGTAAAGATAACATTCGAGCATAACATATTCGTAAAAAACCAGCAATAAAACTCAATAGGAAGGTTATGAAATGTCTTCTAAAAATGGAAAGACAAACCTAGAGTGAACCCACTGACCAACAATTGACGGTAGGGAAGAAAATAAAAATTAGTTTCAGTGAAAAATACCTGTAGGCAGTCACAGCGATGTGTTTTTCTTTACAAAACTCGCGTAATTTCTTTTGTTGGAAGTAAGGATGAAGTTCGACCTAAATAACACATGGACTATCATAAGAATGAACATGAAGCATGTTTCTAGATTGGTCACCTCAATAAGGTATAC